TATTCTAAGAGTAAAATACTGATTCTATCAGGAGATCATCTTATTTAGACTTAGACTTCCTTTATTGTCATTGCACAAAAAAACACAAGGTGAATCTTGACAACGAAATGTCGATTACTTCGCTACCAGTGTAACAGAGCTAAGACCTTATTCCTGCACAATAATTGTTTTTTTTATAACTAAGAGCTAGCTATATACAGGGTATAGAAGTATACATATACATATATATTGCACTGAGTTATTGAAGAAGTAACATCAATAATTATTGCACTGACTTATTGCTAAACGAAACAATAAATTGAAGACAAAACTAAACTAAAGTGCGTGTATTGTCCATGTTCATGGGGGGAGGAGCGTTATGTGGAGTTAAGCAGTCTGATGGCCAGGGGGAAGAAGCTGTTCAGTAGTCTGGTCGTTCTGCAGAAGATGCTGCGGAACCTTCTGCTGGACGCCAGGGGGGAAACAGTCCATGGTTGGGGTGGGTGGGGTCGGAGAGGATCTGGTGAGCCGGGATAGGCAGCGCCTGTCCGCGATGTTCTTGATGCAGGTGAGCGGCGCCCCCGTGATCTTCTCCCCTGTCCTCACCACCCTCAGTAGAGACCTCCAGTCAGAGGCCCTGCAGCTCCCAGACCAGATGTAGCTGGTCAGTAGGCTCTCCATGGTCCCTCTGTAGAAGGTCTGAAGGATGGGGGGCGGGAGGGATGCTCTCTTCATCCGACGCAGGAAGTGCAGAAGAAGGAGATGTTGGGTGACCAGCTGAGGTTGTCAGTGATGTGCACCCCCAGGAACTTGATGCTGCTGATGACCTCCACAGCTGACGGGTGTGTGGGTGGGTCTGGATTTCCTGAAGTCGATGAAAAACTCTTTGGTCTTTTTGACGTTCAGGATCAGGTGGTTCCCTGCGGATGACACCCACCCTACTGTGGTGTCATCTGCGTACTTCAGGATGTGGTTGGACCTGAGGCGCGAACGGCAGTCGAGGGTCATCAGGGCGAACAGCAGGGGGCTCAGGACACAGCCCTGGGGGGTGCCGGTGTTCAGGGTAATGACGTCGGAGGTGTTGTTCCCCACTCTGACAGCCTGGGTTCTGTTAGTGAGGAAGTCCAGCAGCCAGTTGCAGAGGGGGGTGTTTATTCCTATGGGGTCCAGTTTGCCTACCAGGTCCTGGGGGATGATGGTGTTGAATTCTGAGCTGAAGTCCAGGAACAGCATCCGGACGTGGGTGTTCTTCTCCTCCAGGTGCTCCAGACTCAGGTGGAGAGCAGTGGAGACTGCATCCTCCGCACTGCGCTTGGACTGGTTTGCAAACTGGAACGGGTCGTGTGATGAGGGGAGCGTGGAGATAATGTGGTCTATTTACTTACTCAAATTAAGGTTAAATGTATTTATTTTAAGAAATCTTCACTTACTTTAGATAGTTTTTGCAGTGCTGCAGTTTTGCATCATAAATGCTTTAGACCAGGGGTCTTCAATGTTTTCCAGGACAAGGACCCCCGAACTGATAGCGAGATGGAGCGAGGACCCCCTAATTATATACATTGTATTAAAATTGAGTTCTATCAAACTGGTCCTATAGTCACTCTATCGCAGATGGAGTAATGTAAAGAAAGTAATTCCACCCTGGGATTATTAAAGTATTTCTGATTCCTGGTTGATGGGACAGGTGTTGTGAATGACTGAAAGACATCTTCAGCCTCCATTTATCTGTTTACTACAGTGTGTTTAATTCATGTTAATGTTTATTTAAACACATTTCAATTAGTGGAAAAAATTGCAAGGGTAAATATAAAAAAAAAAAGTTCAATCAACCAAAATGTTCGCAGTACCTCTGTGAGCCCCATGTTGAAGACCTCCGCTTTAGAGGACAGTAGCATCTGATTAAACAGATCTGGTCTGATTGACTGGGAACTCTTTAAATAGAGACATTTTTCTAACTTTCTTTCCATCAGCTGCTAATAAAAACTGTTCATTCCTTCACTAATAAGCAGCACCTGTTTTATTTTTCTCTACAGCAGCGCTTTTGTGCGTCTATGTGTGAATCTCACCCAGGCTGAGCTTTTATCGCAGCCTCCACCGCGTTCCGGACATCTTTACGGCCTCCATCAGGACAAAAGCCCAACACATTACCGCCCCCTGGTGCCTGGACAGCCACACTGCAGCCTGACACTGATTTACAGGCTTTACCGCCAACAAACTGCAGGAAGGACTGAGGCATACTATGACAAAGAGAAGAAGAGATACAGCATGAGCAGATATTTAGAAGCCTGTTTAATCTAAACCTCAGAGAGCATTAAAAACCGACCTGTGGTCGTCTGGGATCACAGCCTGGGTTGGTTCTGTTCCAAACTTTGAGTAGTCCATAGCAACAGGGGCCGAGCGAGGACGGACAGGAGACCAGGAAGGTCGCAGAAACTGATAGAGACCCTGCATAAAATCAGAGATGTAAATATGAAGCTTTAGGAGCTTCACCATTGATCAGATCAATGAGGGTTTTACAAAAATAATTCATTGGAAGATAGTTGGAGATAAAAATGGAGAAACCCTAAAGGAATAACCTGTTAAAAAGCCACAGATTGAGACTTCCCTCAGCAATAGATATAAAAAGTTATACTACGTTCAGACTGCAAGCAGCAGGAGCAGCAAAAACGCTACATCCTGCTTCATTTTTTATGCTTCTACAAGTTTAGTTCTGATGCGTGGCTGAAGCATCATTGCTGCTCTGGCTGCGTGGTTTGAAAGTGGGTCTGATGCATAATGGGCGGAGCTACCCTATCCTTTCTTTGCCTGTAACAATGGCGGAGGAAATCAAGAGAGGTGCTTGGCTTATTTTAATGAATAATGCTACGTTCAGACCGCAGGCGCTGGAAGCAGCAAAGCTTCTGCTGCTTCATTTTTATGCTTGTTCACATTAAGGTCAGATGTGCGTCAAGTGCATCTTTGATGCTCCTGAAGCGCGTCCAGTAAAGGGTGTCCAGATGCGTCTGATGCTCCTGCTGCTCCTGTGTTCAATGGCAGAGAGCGGCTTTGCTATATTTGCTGTGATCAGTGGGTAAAAAGTAGTTTAAAAATGTTTTTATAGAGGTCACAGAATGCAAAACTGAGTTTCCATTGTCATAGATGAATAACGATAGTTCAGTGGGTGAAATGGACGTACAGAGAAGTTCTGATGGTGGTCAGAGGGCTCGGTGACGCCAGTGTACGGCAGCCCAGCCTCTGTCAGTGAGCCCCAGGGCAGCTGTGGCTAAAATGTAGCTTGCCACCATCAGTGTGTGAGTGTGTGCGTGAATGGGTGAATGAATGTAGTGTAAAGCATTTTGGTCAAGTCTCCTCACTTGAAAAAGGGCGCTATGTAAGGACATGCCATTTACCATTCAAACCCCATCCACACCTCCTTTCTCTGCAAATCTCACAATTCTAAACCTCCATCATAAAAAGTAAGAATCCAAACGAAGCCCCGAATTGATGTCATTTCGCGATGTTGCCTCATTTGGCCGGTAATTTTGTCACGCTGCTGCGCCGCTGACTGGACCAGACCGAACTGAACTGAGCGACGAACCAGACGCGGTGACGGTATGCTTCCCCCCACCTGCCTTACCATGCTAAGGGGAAGCATGGTAAGGTTGACCCAGTGTCCAGGCTACCGTCATTGGGTTGGGTTCGGTCGTGCCGTCCCCCGCTGGCTCCCTGCCCCCCTCAGCCCCGGAGCTCCTTCTTTCCCATCGCCCTGCTTGCCACAGGTTTGCCTGCTGTGTCTAAAAGTAGCAGCAGCAGCAACCCAGACTGACAGCAGCTCATTGGATCATTTGGATCACGTGCAGCCTGGTCCCGGACGCATGGAGGGCTTTACGATGTTAACAGGAGAAGCAGCACAAGTGATGTTTAGACACTGTTGTCAGACAACATGTGGTAATAATTTACCGTATTTTCACGACCATAAAGCGCACCGTACTAAGAGGCGCACTCTCAGTTATGTGTCCCATTTCTGTATTTAACACACACGAGGCGCACCGGACTATAGG